GAAGAACCTTGGTTTCGTTTCTACAGGGTGCGCCAAAATTACGGAGACAACGCATGAGCAAACAATTTGAACTGATATTCACAGATGCTTTTCTTCTGTCCTAGTTTTGGTACTGTGGTGTAGAATTGTTTATGCTTACCTTGTTCAACCACCAAAATCTATGGTAGCTGCAGCGGTTGACTGATACTGACACCGTCCCTAAATCATTGGACTTCGACGTTGAGGGTTTTTGGCACGCGACAATTATCATCGTTTTGGTGTATACCCGAGCACTATCAATAGATGCTCCAAGTAGGTACAGGGGACAAGGAGCTGAATGCAGTCATTCTGGATGAGAAGGGCGTGTTTCTGTGGCGACCACGAACAATCTAAGGATTGTGTGCGATAGAATTTGCAGGTAGTTGACGCGCTGGTTTCACTGGATGTCACGAGAGATAGGAATCAGGGGGCTCTTTTGGACTTATCAGAGCCCATTGCTATCCTGAGTTTATTTTCACTTTGAAAATCGTTGCTGGGCCTTCCATCAAGTAGGAGCTCCCGTTTACGAGGCAAGGGTGGTTCAGTACTAGTGCAGCATTGATGCAGAACCGATTTTTTCGACTTTGTCGGCTTAAACGGTGGTAGAACAGCATTTCAGATCTGAGCTCGATAGGGTACGCTGTCGGATCCGTTCTAGAAGCTGAGGCTTGCATAAAACACATTATGTCTAGGGATTCGTTGAAGAAACCGCTCTAAAATGAGCTTGACGAGTCCTACTCGCCACATTGCGTGCCACAGTCGATGGTTCCTCGATGTTTCTGAGGACCCGTATAAACACAAACCAAGGAATTTCAAAAATTGCATGGATGTCGACGATTCAGAATGGGACTGTGCACGTCACTGCATTTTTGTTTTCAAAGAATTGCACCTTGCTCATCCTAGGCAACTCGAAGTCGCTGTCTCCGTAATTTTGGCGCACCCTGTAGAGAACCACACCCGTGACAACTTTGACGCCAACTCTTAAAGTGTATTGGAGTCATCTGACAAGGAGTCATTTTTTAAGGTACATTTATGGAGAAGTGAATAGTAACCAGGCCCTTTTTTGCCATTTTAGCAGCATTTTCCTAAAATAACATAAAATACGGTGTATTAATTCTTATGTAATAGTCGTTGCTGTTACCTGTAGATATGGAAGATCCTTGTCAATGCATCCCGCGTTCGTGACCATGTAAATATAGTCATACTCAGTCTTGGAGACAATAAGGTCGTCTTTTATTCCTCCCTTTTCATTCGTAAATACTGAAATCATGAAACTGTGCATAACGCTAGAATGAAAAGAGGATCTCTCCATGCTAAACGTATTCACAAGATTCCCTACTCCACTTGCTCTCAAATTCCCTTCACGTCTGCGCCACAAATCATGTTAATTTGATCTGACAGCATAGAGGAAACTTGTGAATGATTTTTAAAAAGTTGTGGAACCGGTTCCGAATAAATCTCTTTAAATGAGTGAGTAATGGTTTAACATGATTCGTGGATCAGTAACAGCGAGAGTGGGAGAGGAGGGGCGGGAAGAGGGCTTTGAGGGCGTGCCATCATGCATCAGTATGAAAAAAAAACTTCTTTACATTCTCAACAAAAAAATGCAAAAAAGGCCTGGTTACTATTTACTTCTCCATCAGTATACCTTAAAAAATGACTCCTTGTCAGATGGCTCCAATACACTTTAAGAGTTTGCGTCAAACAAAGTTGTCGGGTGTGGTTCACTAGGACAGAAAGCGACTTTTTCGCGTTTCGCAGCGCGAAACATTGTTCGTTGCGGGAATCTCGGGTCCACTGATGATTCGCTGCGGGAACCTCGGGTCCACTGATGATCAGCGGTGGACCTGAGGTTCCCGCAGCGGAAAATGTTCGCGCTGCAAAACGCAAAAGTCGCTTTCTGTCCTAGTGAATCACACACAAATGGTCACCAGTTATTACGAGAAAAGCAGAAAAGAGAACATTATATAGAACTCAATGTTTCACAGGATGAAGATAATAAGGCAAAACCTCAACGATGTGAATTACCTGAGAGTGTGCCACTGTTCACCGGCAGCCCTTCTACATCAGCTGTTGTGAGGCTTTCGATGAATGCAACCCTAACAAAGGAAAAGCAGTGAAGAAGGAAATCGGTGACGAAAAATTCAGAAAACAGTCTTACCTGTCCTTTTCCAGTGATGTGTGTTTGTAACATGTGAGAGACGTCGAAAATGCTGACATGTTCCCTTGTATGACGGCATGATTCCTGGATGTTCAGATCGGGGTATTGCACGGGCATTTCGTACCCAGCAAATGGAACGATTTTGCCTCCATGTTTATTATGAAAATCGAAAAGGCAAGTGCGCTTCCTAAAAATGGGTATGAAAGCTCGGGTTCAAAATTGCAGTAGTAACTCAATCCAGCTTCACTCCTCTGATGCTCACTCGCAGCGTATGATGTAATTAAAGCAACACCCCCAGAAGGGTTCATCTTTTAGCTACTAATGGAGTGGCAAGATGGGTGAGCCCTTGGAAAGAAAGTGTCGCTAAAACAAAAACTCACCTTGGAAAGCCGCTATGATGAATTTGGCTACGTGCCAACTCGTGCGCTCCAAAAAATTCCCCACCCACTTGCTATCGAGATTGCTTGATTGGCTGTGCGGTCCCTGCGCGATTGCGTGACTGGCTGGTGGTCCTTGCGCGATTACATATAAACTGTAGCGAGTTAGAAGAATGGGCACTATTGCATTATTACAACCCCAGTGGGGCCGAGATGGGTCAAAAATAATTTTCGCTGAAACTTTTGCTATGGGGGTTATCGAGGGTCCTGATCACGAATATGACATCCATTTTTGGCGCTGGAGCGCCACGTCAAATTGGCGCCATTTGGCGCGTGCCATCTGCGCCCATTTAATGCGTTATCACAACCAAATACCTGTAGTATCTTCTGAACTAGAGGTTATTGGCGCCGAATCATCGATATGACACGGTTCCTCCGATCGTGAATCGCTTGTTCTGAATTTCTAAGAGGCTTTCTCACGGCTATGGCGCCTACGACCTTAGGAGCTTAAGTGGAGCGGAGTGAAACTCCGGAGTGGTAATCACGGCCTAGCCAGGATTCGGCCAATGTGCCGGAAACGTGTGTTAGACCCCACAGTGGAGTGCCCTACTAAATTGAGCGCGACACCCACTATTCGACAGGCCTCTGACTGCAGCGCTCTAATCTGCCCCGAGAGGCGGCGCAGACACGAGCAGGAAATTAGCGCGCCCGAATAGCGCTAACAACAAAACGCCCATGTCGTATCCGTAATCCAGGACCTCCACTCAAGCACGTGAGTTTACAAGGCAAAGTTTAGTGGGAAGCATCGCGATGCCCTCAGGCACGTCCGTTGCAGCCATCCGAAAAAATGACTATATTCTGATGAGGCCCTCGTACATAGCAAAAAATTTCAGCGTCATTTTTTGACCGAACAAGCCATCTTCACCCCCTGACTGACGTTGTAATAGTGCAATAAGTGCCAAAGAATGCTGCCGAGGTATCTCCTTAAGATGTTTAAGTTCTCAAAGTCGTTCGACTATTGCATTTTTGTTTGATTCCTGCTATATTGGCTTGTATTATGCGTAGCCGAGTTGCAGCCGCTTTTAGCAAAAATGCCGGCGGAGTAAGCTCGGCATCGGACAGTCGCCGACCACCACCCGTCCTCCACACTACATGGTGAAACGCAAGTTGACAAAAGTCCAACGCCGATGAGAGTTAATGCCGAGACAGCAATGACGTAGCGCAAGCAGGAGACGCGGACCGGCTTTCGCTGGGGCGAGCCGGAATGCCGCGGCGTCGAGAAGCGATGAACATCGGTCCACTCTCCTTGGTCCAGACGTAACGGTTACCCTGGGGGCTGGGGGAGGAAAGACCTTGTCTACGGCTGGTGTCAGAATAATGCGATCCGATCGCGGTTTCGCTGATTTTCCTCGATTGCCGCAACACACGACGGTCACGGATCAAGTGCCCGATGCAATATGCATAAGTGATCGCTAATGCTTGCCGCCACTTCTGCTGATAGTGATGGCTGAATGACGACTGCTCATGATTCCCACTTGTCTTCACATTCAGTGTTTCAAATGTTCACATACTTGCAATTTTTGCGATCCGCCGCAGGTTTCGCGAAAATCGCGAAAATCAGCGGAAACCTGCGACGGATCGCGGACTCTGACACCAGCCTAAGGGCTTCATCGGGAGTTTCCCTGTGTTTTCTTCCCCTTTTATTTATCAGTCAACTGAGCATCTACTCAATCACTCTGGACTCGTTTTTTACAATCGATCTGGAGTGCTCCGCTTCGACGTAGCAGCTATCTAGCTGTTCAAAAAATTCCAGTACGACTCTAGTAGTGACAACAAGAGATAAACTGTGACTACTGTCGCGTCTTCGAACTTTCCAACAGTTTTTAGATATGATCTAAGCACAAAGAAAATAATTGTGCAACGACCAGCGATCCGCTCCAACCCTCCCCCCGATGCGACGATGAGGAAAATTCTGATATCCTCATTGCCTGAGTTCGGTTTATGCAATTCATGTTGCGAGCCAGAAATGCTGAAACCTACGTTGAAGAAGCAGAGCTCAGCCGGCGTATAAGGGTAAGTTGAAATGAGAAAATGCGATTCATCTCCAAGAATTATTACCTGCAACCAGTGCATCAAATTGTAACTCGTTTCACCCACGAATTTTCAAAGGAGAAATGGAAAATCGATGTTCAGTACTGTATAGCGTAACGATTTGGAAACTTGACCACACTATAATCACACTATATTCCATTCAATCAATAAATGCTGAAAAAAATCAAGAAGGCTGAGATAGCAAGTTCGCTATGATATATGGATGATCCGCCGCAGGTTAGTCAACTAAAATATCTTGTTGTATATCTATGCGTAGTTCATCATATGCTCTATATAAAAACCCGCATCTTGCACCGAAAAAAAAAACGTCCTCTATTATATTCCCGGTTTATAAAGATCAACATGGTATAGAAATATGGACATGCGGCATCGCATCGCAGAAATATGGATAAATATGCGTACATGGAACCCTATCAAAATAAAAAGCCGCACTCCGAAGTTGAGAACGTCACTGAACGATGCCTCGGGTAGCCCCTCATAATACAAAAAAAATCTTAATTGAGTGGGTATATGAAAATTGAGAAAATGGAATGCAACATCAGATCGGGGAACTTGATGTTAAATTCAAAAAGGCATATGAATCCACCTGTGGCAGTCGCAGCGCTTTGATAATGCAATCGCGGTCGATAGAAGTGTCGAATCAGTTTAGTTGTGATAAGGCGACAATTACAACAGACACGAAAAGTCTTAACTAGCAGGTACAGCCTGGAAAAACATACGGTAAAAGAGTGATTCCCTTGCAGATCACCATAAACAAATACACCTACCTTAGAGCGCATCCATTTCTTCAAATCGTTGTTGCCTCCGCTAAGAAGTTTAAAACAACGTTAGTAGGTGGAGGCCAATAATAATAGTTTTTCTGCGGTTCCCTCGTCTAGTTTGAAATTGTTGTCCGATTCACAAACCGGTTTAAAGTGATGGATCATTTCGCAGTAAGTATTAGATAACTTACGTGACAACCTGAACTTTTCTATCTGCTCTCTGCGCAAAAGTTTAGAGCACAGACGGACAAAGGACAGCGGCCGACACACCTTTAGATCGCGTCACGTCCCAGCAACCGCAAGCCATGGTGTTTTGGCGTTTCGTAGTGATATTTGGGCACTCTCGTACCAGCACGCTAGCTCGGCACCTCTGCTTTTCTCGGGAACAGTTCACAGTATCGTCCGTCCGTTGCGCTGCCGCAGGCGACCACTTGCGCGGCGTCGCGACGCGGCTTTTCTCCGATGGGCGCGTGTTTTTTGAACTTGACGGTGGATTAGTTGATAATAATCTATGTGAGATGCGGATACCGAATTCCAACTTTTTGGGGTGCTAACTTAGTTGGGGGGGGGGCACGCGGCGGCGCGGCAGTCTGCTCGCCTGGCATGTTCGGAAATCCGTGGGCCAGGGGGAGTGTAGCCAGCCTAGGGGGTGGGGGTGGGGGCAGTCACTTGACATGCGTGAAAAGCTGGAATGTTCGAGTTTACACTGTCTCGCTCGAGAGAGCCCAGGTGAGCAGACTGCCGCGCCGCCGCGTGCCCCCCCCCCAACTAAGTTAGCACCACCTTTTTATGCTCCGCTCTT